TTCTTCCTGCCCCGAGAACTGGCACTCCATGAAGATGGCACCCCAAAGAGGGGGAACTCCACCACCATTGGCACAACCACCACAAAGGCTCCTGCGCCTGTGAACTTCAAGGAATACCGCTCAGACTCCCGCGAGAAGCCCGTGCACAAGCCACCGAAGATTCAGCCCAGCTTGGCACCGGAATTAAACTCCTTGAACAGGAAGAAGGTTGGCTCCACAGCGAAGCCCATTCGCTTGAGCGGAAAGGAAGCTGAACAGCAAATATACCAGGGATCCTCCGCCCTTAATGTCAAGGCGACTTCTGCTCCTGTTGTGCTGAGTTCCACTTTACCGCCTTCTGGAGGCTTGCTGCCAAATCGGAATCGCCTAAGTCCTTTCCGCATGCCCGGCATGAATATAGCTGAGATGCAGAATCAGACATCGGCTGCCATCAAGAACGCCTTCCAAAACATTTTCAAGATGCCCTTCCGGCCTCCAATGGCGGCCACAACTGGACAAGGTCCTGCGATTGTGGGCAACGTTCCCCTGAAGAATCACTCCATCGATTCGGCGGATTATAAATGGGAGGATGAGAACGAAGGCGCCGGCGATGGGATGGCGGACGATTTGGATACAATTGAGAACACCGCCGCGGAGCTGGACAACAGTGCCTCCTCAGAGAAGCACCTGTTTGCCCACAAGGCCCACCACCTGATGCATACTGTCGGCCAGGTGGCCACCGCCCAGCAAAGCACTCAAAAGCAGGCATTGCGCGAGGGAGGAATCATCATTCAGCGGCTCAAGGTGCGCAGGGGCGGCATCGCGATCGCAGGACCCGGGGGCGTGGCCACGGCGGGCAGCGGAGGAACGGCGATCGTTGGTCCCGGGGGCTATGCCCTCACCCATCCACGGAGTCTCACCATCGCCGGTCCCGGGGCCAAGGTGATCTCAATACCGGCAAACGTGGACCTGCAAGATGCCCTGGCACGCACCGATCTGGAGACGAGAAGTTTTCCGCGAGAGGGCAAGGTAGTGGCCACAGGACCGACGGTCTACTATGCTCCACCCACGGGCACGACCACCATGGAGGCGGATCAGGGAGCGGGGCTGGATGCGGGCCAGTTCGAGGCTTAACCCTAAAGCTATTACTTAGCACTCTTAGTTAGGATCCATAGTTGGTATTGTCTAGTGTTCTAATAAATATTTGTATTTCGTAAATGTTTGGGCTTTTGCTTTCATCGTGTACATAGTAGTTGTAAATACCCCTATCACCCTATTAAGCCTCACCTAATCCGCATGCTATTAACCCGACACAGTTTAACCCTCGAATTACTGCTGTAAATATTGTTCGACTAACCAGCGGCTCTCTCACCATTTCCCTCTATCCAACTATCCCTAAACCAAAACCATCCTAACTCAAGTGCCCTCTGGCGCACCACCAACATCGAGGCCTGGCCACCAGGAGCACCCGTTGCAGAGAAGTCCGGAAAACTAGTTGCAGAAGCTGCTCCGGCCCAGAACCTCGCGCCCTACGGAGCCTATCAGCCCCTGCTGCTCACTGCCCCCTACTACGCCGCCTACAACCTGCCGCTGGCCTATGTGGTGCAACCCACCATAGCCGGTGCCACTACCACTAGCACCACCAAAACCACCACCACCACCACCACTGGTAGACCCGAAAGCTTAGCCGAGGACAGCTCCAGCGAGCTGGAGAAACCAGAAAAGCTGCAGGTTCTGCCTGCAGAGAAGACGCGAACCACTGGGGATCTGAAGAGCGATGTGGGTCTCCGCTCAGCGGTCAGCAAAATAAACCCCGAGTATGTGATCGAAGAGATTGTTCCGGTGCCGGGTAAGCTGGTGATCTCCACTTCTGGGAGTGCTCCGCGCTCCGGCAAGCAGCAGTTGAAGAAGGCGACTGGCCCACAGAAACTGAGGAAGCAGGCGGCTGGCAGAGTTCCCTTGAAAGTTGAGGCCACCGGCAGGACCAGCACCAGTGCGGGCAACTTTCCGCAGATTCCTTTCGGAAACTACTTCCTGCCCTACAGACCGGAGCAGGCTCAGGCGATCCAGGGACGCAAGCAGGCTGCTCTCATCCTGGAACCTCATTCCAAGGCAGTGGTTGGTAATGGTGGCACCGCCATATCCACGCCAATTTCCAAGGCGTATCTGAAGAAGGGCGTGCCCACTAACGTTTACTTCAATCCGGAATCCGTGGCCATAGCAGGCGTGGGTGGCAAGGCACATGCTACGGCGGATCTGGAGCTGGATTTGTTCACGTAAAGGAGAAAGGATTTCATTAACTGATTTCTTAGCACTATTTTGAAAGTCAATTGGCCAGTAACCCAAACACCAAGAGAAAATGTTCCCAAGAAATCGGTTCCTGAAAGTGGGCTATTATACTTGTAGGTTATCCAACAGAATCTAAGGGTAGTTCCTCTTCCCAACTGACCAATGTTCCTACGTTAAGAACAGAGGCCTAAACCAATGTGTCATTTCTTAGATTGTAAATAAAGTAAACCGTAAACTGTACAGCTTTCGCCTTGGGTCATATAGTAGTCCGCTAATTCCATGTAGATACTCCAATGCTTCTCTTAATCCCCGCTTTCTCCAGGCCACCCCCAACACTTTCCAAACACACCCAACACACACTCTCTATAACCAAATCTAACCCCGAAAAGCAGACACAGATCGCGGTCGGCTCCGCTGGTCTTCGAGGAGCATCCCTACTACGGAGGATTGAGGGGTCAGCTGCTCCAGCTGCGTCCGCAGCGGGACGGCAGTGTGGGCAGCTTCATCCTGCAGCGCCAGCAGCCGCAGGTGAGGGCTGTGCCCAGGGACTCCGATGACACTGTCACTGTTTCGGCAGCCAGCATCTCGGCGGTAGCTGATGGTAGTGGAGCCTCCAGCTCCAGCAGCTCGATCTCAGCCAGCGCCAGTGACTTCAATCGGATTCAGTCGGCCGCCGCTCGATTGGTGGCCATTCAGGAGCTGGCCAAGCGCAAGGGTTCCTTCAGCGAGGAGGACAACAAGATCTATGCCAGCAGCCTGCTGGAACTGGGCCAGGCTGCCCAAAGCTTGGCCCTGCTCCAGCAAACCGGACAGATTAAGGACTTCAGTGTTTTGCTGCAGCCGGAAATGTTTGGCAATCCGCAGAAGCAGCCAGCCAACTTTGGCCTGGAGGCCACCAACAATCCGGACCAGAAGATCGACGAACAGAAACTGGACGAGGTCACCGAGCAACAGTTCTCGCCGGACGAGCAGTTCCTGCCGCCAAACAACGAGGATCCCTACGAGGACGTCAACGACAGTGTATCCGTTATGGCTCCCAAGAAAGATGCCGCCGTGGCTGAGGCAAAACCAGTGGGTAAGTTCTCTGAAAAAAAGACTTCTTTTTTATATTATTTCTAATACCTTTAACCCCCTTCTAGGTCTCTCGATTGCTGGTGAAGGTGGAGTGGCCTCCTCCAAGCCGAATGCCGTTGCTCTTTCCGGCCGGAACGGTTTGGCCGTAGCTTCGCCCAAGGCCACAGCCATTGCTGGGGTTTCGCCCGAGGAGGCAGCTGCCTTCAGCATTTCACTGCCCACTCGGAATCAACTGGTGATCAAGAGTCCCAATTTGGCATCGGAGAAGTCCAGCGACGACTATGACTACAACGATATCCCTCTGACTGTTGCACGCTTCCCTTTGACCCGGGAAACACCTCAGCAACTGGTACCGCTTCGCATCTCTGGAGGAGATTCCCTGGTCGAAAGGTGGCGCACCGCCATCGCAGAGGATTACGCAGCCAGGCAGGCGCTGACCAAGGTGGCCATGCCACATCCCACACCCTTCATCCGCATGGCTCCCAAGCGGCGTCTTCACTCCGAGTAGGAATAATGCTGTAGGATGGATGAAAGAGATTAAACTTGGATTGGACTAGATCGCAATGATATTCATAGTATACCTTAAGCAACATTTTGTGTGCCAGCTCCCAGATTGCCAATAAAATATGTCTACTGAAATGAATTTGTTTGAGATTTGTATTAAGGATTATTTCAGGCCTGTTTACTTACCTTCTCATATTAAATCAATATTTCTTGACTTAAACATGCGGAATGTGTCTAAACCAGCTTAAAGGTTCTACAAATCTAAAAAAAAGAGTCCACGTAACTAAGTCAATGTGCTTGGAATTGGCTTGGAAGCAATTTGTTCAAAATTTAGTTACTTTGTTACAAAATTTGCGACACGAAAATGGCTTGCAAGGGATCGTTAAGTTCCCATAATCGTTGGGACCTTAAGAGGAACTTAATTACAAGCTGGAGTTTTCTATACCCTGTTATCCAGCATTCGAATCAAAGATCGCAAATAGCCATTCAAGATCAAGTGGAGACTGTGACAGAGAGCCACGGCAACGCATCTAATTGCTGCGGGAAGTGCATGGAGTATATAAGGAAAATAAATTTATTTATGCGATTGCGCACGGCGCATCGAAAATCTCAGGCGGACTGAACGCGAGCATGTGCAAATCTTGATTAATCTTTTCCGCCAGGGCAGGCAACATGAAAATAAATTATCTAAGCGGGCAGCGGATGGAGGGGCGGTCGGCAGGAAGGAACACATTCAATTTGCACCTGAACCAGTTGGCTCCATCTACCATCTACCATCTCCCATCCACCATCTCCCATCTCCCATCCGAGTACCTTTGCCCGTCAATGCGGCTTCAATGCGATCGCCATGCCATGCTTGACTTCTATTACGCGGCAGGTTTAACAAACTTGATAGGCCCAGAACTTGGCCGGGGATGAGGCCAAGACGGCATCTCCGTTGACCATCTGCCATCTGCAAGCGAACCTGAAACCAGAATGTATCTGGCCAGCCAGCTTCGTTGGCTATTCAGGCTTCTTTTGGCCAGCGAACGACCCGGTTCCCCCTCGGCTTTCCTGCGGGAAGCTGCGCATTTCCAGTTCCATCAGGTCTTCAGCTCTTTGTTCTTGGGATAGGTCAGGGTAAGGGGTCTGTGGTCGCACATTATAAAAGCCCATGGTCGAGCAGCAGTGGCCACCAGTTTCCTTGAAGTGGTCGCCGTGTTAACACTGAAGACTGAGCCCGTTCATCGCATTGCCCTTGTGTTCAGACTGACTAGTGATAATTTAGATTCTTCTTGAGCGGATTGCGGATCGTGTGGCCACAAGAGAACTCCATCAAACTACCTGCCTAGATTTGGGAAAGTCGTGAAAGGCCATCAACTACTGAAAAGTAAGTCTGACCCTCATTTTGCGCTTATACTCGGTTTATTTCAAATAGTGTGCTTAATTCAATTTCGTTTTGCTCTGGTCTCAAATTCCTTTTTATGGGGTCAAACATTAGTATGTTCATTAAGCTACTAAGTTAGAGGCTAGGTCGAGTCATGAAATCGTAAAAGGAAAGTATATCTATCCGAAATTATGGGTTAAAAAATCATTGTCTATTTATGAAAGAATACAATTTTAATTAGAAGAGAACTAAGGATATATTTAAATGTTACAATATACAAATGGGATTTTAAGATTTATCTTATTAGGGTATAGTTTAAAAAAAGGGGAAAAGGAAGAAAAATAAGTTCAGAATCTAAAAATATAGATGAAATTATATAGAAAAACGTATATAGTTCAATATCAACTACATTTTTTCTATGCTTCAAATGATTGGCATAGTATTATTATTATTTAATAACTATTGAAATTGAAAGAATAACTTTTTTAATGTATATGGTATATTATTGTTAAAATCACATTTGATGTATTTTATTTAAAGATACAATTCCTTCACATGAGCGTTGGAAATAAAATGCGATACACCAGTATGCATCACATATTTTTTTGCTCACAAACAAAAGACTTAAGCGCCGAACCTGGCAAGTACCACACAAAGAACAATTTTAAAGGGGCGGGGACGACGAACTTGAATATCAAGTACCGATTTAAGCCATAAAGCTGCTCGCAGTCATTAGCTAGTATCTACACTAGAAGTGCTAGGCAAAGAACTACCAATGACTATAACGACCTGGCCAATCAATTGCAAACCGGTTGATAGTCCCTCGATCCATGCAAGTACGAGGAGCATCCTGTCCGACCAGGCAACATGCAATTACACACGGACACACACAGCTGCGCAGAATAACGTTAAATTTAGAATGGACTTTGGTGCGATGGCAGGAGAGCGTCTATAAATAGCCCATCGGCTAGACCCGTTTGCTGCACTTGGGGCAGGAAGATCCTACTGTTCATTCGGGTTTCTTCAACTCTTCAACTCCTACTTCGATTTCTAACTTTAATCAAACTTTGATTTATTGTTTTAAATAATGCAACCAGCCAATTAGAGTTATTACTGAGTGTATATGTAATGAAATCAGCATAGAATTTTTTAGTTAACATTTTAACGTAATTTTATTTCGATGCTCTATTGAAGTTTTATTATGGTTACGTTATGAAGATTTGCTCGGTTCGATTAAGTACTATTCTTAATTTGTGTGCATACTTCGATTAGTACCATTAGAAAGTACAGATCAATTCGAAATGTGGTATTTAAAAGGGTATCATAGAAAACACATCTCTTAAATATAAATTAAGCTCATATACATACGTGTATGTCGAACTCACAAACCTATAAAAAAGATGTGTGTTTTTAAAATGTATACGTCTTCTGTGAGTATCTACAATCTCTTACCATCGATTTATAATCCCCAACTCTCTTGCAGAATGTTCCTCCTCGCGGCCTTTTGTCTGTCCCTGGCGGCAATTGGCGCTCAGGCCAGGCCCCTGGAGCCGACGGCCCAGCACATCGTGATTGTGACACCGCAGGCGCAGGTTCACCTGGAGCCCACTCTCCGCTATGTCCACGGACTGTCGCCACTGGCCCGCGTGGCCAGCCCGCACCACCATGAGGAGACCATTGTGTATGTGCCTGCTGGAACTGCTGCCCAGGTGGTGCCGGTGGTGGATGCCATAGGATCTGGCCGTGCCGGCGGTGCTCCGGAGACCAAGCAGTGGGAGAACACGGGCGAGATTGCCAACCAGATCCAGCAGGTGTCCCAGCAGGGCGTCGAGATCGTGAGCGGCCAGGTGAGCGAGGCGGCAGCATCCGCGGCCTCCGCAGGAGCGGGCTTCTTCCCCTCCCTGTTCCCGCCGAGTGGCTCCAAGAAGGAGGAGCAGTTGCAGGGTTTGAAGACCGAGAAGATTGAGCTGATCGAAACGCCGGCCAATACCCAGCCATTGATTGCCGCCGAGGCTAGGCATTTCTACCGTCTGCCCCAGGTCTATCACACACCGGTGGTGGATGTGGTGCATGGTCCGCTCTACACCTGGCCCATTTCCGCCATCCGAGCACGCAGCATCCAGCAGGAGCCCGAACCGGAACTGGCATCTGCCGAAGCTGCTCTGAAGCAGACTCTGAAGGCTGAACCACAGGCTGAGATCAAGCCGGAACCGCAGGCTGAGATCAAGCCGGAACCACAGGCCTTGTTGAAGGAACAGCCTCTGCTGAAGGAACAGCCCCTGCCGAAGGAACAGCCCCTGCTGAAGGAAGAGTCCCTGCCGAAGGAACAGCCCCTGCTGAAGGAACAGCCTCTGCTGAAGGAACAGCCTTTGGAGCAGGCTGCTCAGGAGCTGAAGCCCACTATTCCTGATGCTAGCGAGCAGAAGAACGGCCGTCAGCTGGAGAACTTTGACATTAAGCAGAACCAGAAAGGTGCCGACATTGCCAAGGACCCACTGAAGGAACCAAGTAAGTGTATTTATTGTGCCAACTAATTAGGTTTGACCATGTCACGTTTTTCACAGCCGCCCAGATTGAGCAGCAGAAGGAGCTGGTCAAGACCATTCAGGCTGAGCCGGTGACTAAGGCCATCCAGCCTGAGCCACAGACCAAGATTCTTCCCGCCGAGGCTATCCAGGCTGAGCAGCCGAAGCAGCAGGAGATCATCGCCGATGCCATTGTGCCGCAGGCCTAAAGCCTAGGCTGGAACCAGAACTCATCTTTGAATCTCATTCATCCCTTGGGCAGCTTTGGTTCTACGACTGATTCTCATAGCTGGCCCGGCGCAAGACGACCGGGTCATGGGGTTTCCCCTCATCCATCATCCATCATACGCCATCCACCCACCAATCGTACATTTAATTACTAACATAGAACACACGCATCCGCCACATTTTCCATTTTCCAGACATTAATTAACAACAGCGAAACGAGAAAGAGACATTCATTCATAATTATCATCACGAAGCGTTCGTATTCATCATCATCATTACATATTCATTAACCATAACATTGAAAACGTAAAACAGAACAATAAAAAAAAGTGAATGTAAAATGTAGAATTCCGGGAACTATGACATTTGGTTGGGATATGTGAGAAAACATTACGACTGTAATGAAAGCAAATGTTGGAATTTGATTCTTTCTTCTCATACCAATACTAATTAATTTATTTATTCAAGTACCTACTGTTAAGGCATTTATTTTAGCCATGGATTACGCAATGACAGTGACCCCCAAAAATTCGCCGAAATTCGTAAAGCTTCATGCGCAGGCCAGGAAATCCCCAGCAACGTACAAATATTGCAACTATTGGGCAAATAAAATCATAAACGCTGCATACAAAGTAACGCCGAACGTGCGCTGATATTTGCGAATGGGGGATGTATATTTTCGAAAAATATTTTGAGGGCGGCACTTTTGTTGTCTTACATAGCTAGGTGAATAAATATGTAATAATAGGGTAGTGACTAGTCTGCACCATCCCCCACAGTAATGTACGCATCCTGCTCTCCCACTACTATCAGCTCATCATCGTTCTCGGATTTTACGGTGGTCATATCCGGAGAATCCTCCGTCGGCGGTGTGGTGAGTTCAATTCGCTGAAATCCACCGGGTTTGCTTGTATCCGTGTAGCGGTAAACCGAAAAATACGTTTGAATGCGTTGGATGATATTCTCCAGTAAGGGCGGAAACTTGTGTTCCACTCCATCTCCATAGATCCTTAGGCTCAATCGTGTATCGCCACCGGTGTCCGACATTTTTGCGGGATTGGCCTTTAGAGCCTGAAGTACTCCTTTCAGCATTATCAGGTCCGGTAGGTTACTGCCACTCTGATTGGGCGCCCTTCTGAGAATCAGTGATCCATTGGGTTTGATTTCCAGGTAACCGAACTTCTCCGTATCCATGGGAAGCGCCTGATTTGCTCCAACTCCGTTTTTGATCAGGGTCAGTGGGATGATGGCCGCCTGAAGGGCAGTGGTGAAGATCAGCCCCAGTCCCAGCGTCAAGTAGACAAACTGCATGTCGGATGATCGAAGTCTAGAGAAGATCCGCTCGGGCACTGGCCTGTGGGTGCACTAATTTTGGGTTCGCCTTGGCCAACGAACTTATTCCAACTGCTGCGCTTTTTCTCCGCCTTTTACCAGTTTTTGTACGCATTTTGAGTGTAACTGAGCACTGTTTGTATTTGCCTTTGTTCGGTTTGGTTAGGCGTTTGGCTTGATTTGGCTTGGCACATGGCCAATAAGCCCAAACCCAACTTTGAGACGTGCCCTGAGTAGTCGCTGCGCTTTGGTTTTGAGTTGTTTCGGCTGTTTGAGTTACTTATTTGCATTTATTTGTCAATTTTCTGTTATAATTTTCTTCAACTGGCCGCGAAAGCCAATATCGCAAGTCGATATAATCATGTAGTGAAAGTGTTATATTCCCTGAAAATACATGAGAAGCGTTCAACTCACCCACTATAAACGATATGATTGTCTTGGAATAGAGATGTACGTATAAAGTTTATCAAATATTTAAATACCTTTATATGTGGATGGTTCTAAAGAACATGAATTAGCCAAATACTTAACCTTTTTGAGATTGGGAAAAGGCAAAATTATAAGCTCTATTTATTGATAATTGAAAAGCAAAGCAACGTTGAACATTTTTTAGGTCCAGCTTAAAATCTTGTAGTCATCTTTGTCACCCAGTCTGGCAACGCTGAAATTTCAAATCTGGTCACCCCAAAAAATCCCTTACATTTTTTTGAAATATCTGACTTTTAATTGTTTTTGTCCCAATAAAGTTTAGACACCTGGATGTTGTTTCATTACCAAGTTCCTGCATAAAAACCATATATTATATTTTCGTTGATAATTTATTAATTCATTTAGATTGATTTTCATTAAGTAGTTAAGGACATTGATATAATGTTGTGTCGCAATTATCATTATTATTTGTGTGTGTATTTAGTGCTTTAAGTAAGCGGAGTGTCTAACATAGCTAAACGGACGAAGGGATCGTAACGAAAATAATATAAACTAAACAATTAAATTGCTAGGACTTGTGGCTGTGTGCGTGTGTGTTCCTTTTGTTGCTGTTTAATAAACATAATGTATATATCAAACATAAATCGTGTGTGGTTTTTAATACAATAGAACTGTTTAGAACTGAAACCAGCGGTTAGGAAACTTTCATCGCATTCGACTCGCTCGTCGCTTGGTTAAAACTTAGAATAAATAAATAAACATACATTTTTCAATGTGGCAACAATAGTTACAATTGGATCAGTATTTCATATTGATTTTTTTGGGTTTTTCGATTTTTTTGTTGTTTAGTGATTTTGATTTCGTTCTGAAATGCAATTACAAATAATAAGTTTCTATACAATCTGATGTGCTGCTCTACTCGCGTGAAGATAAAGCAAAGTTACCATAGATTTTAGCTAACTCTATCGACTTGAAGTTTACAAAATTTGATTTGCTTTTGATTTAGTAGGACTCATCATCTCCAGCTTCAGCTAATTTTCTCATATCTAATGTAAGTGTAAGGCATTATCATCTCTTGTATATCGTTTAATACATCTGTGTATATTCCTCTTCATCGTTCTCCACTTGTATCCCTCTGATTTGATCCATAATTTCGTTGAATTTGTTTATGGCTAATTTAAGCTTGCTGCTCCACAGCTCTCCCACACATCCTGACTCGCTGCAGACGGCTTACATCAGCTTCTGCTTGGCACAATCGGGGCACAGAATATCGGGTCCGTCGGTGATGAAGCCACGACCCACCAGACTAGCCTTGCAGCTGGCGCACACGAAGCAGTCGTGGTGCCAGTGGCGATCCTCAAACGAGATGAAGCGTGTGCCGCCAATGCCTGATGGGAAAAAGGGGTTTCAATCGGATTGCTGTGCTATGCCTTGTTAAGCTCACCTGTTATGGGCTTCACACAGGCCGTGCAGCGTTTGGCAAACAGCTCGCCGAAGCACTCGGCACAATAGGGCTTCTCGTCGCGGCTGGTGAATCGCTGGCCAGCTAGCGTGATGTTGCAGTGGGTGCAGGTGAAGCACTCGCGATGCCACGGCTCGTTCTTGTAGGTGACACCTCCCGAGGTGATGACCTAGGCAGGCGGAAAATTCGATTCGATTACGTTCAAAAATACACTATATTCCCATCATCCTGACCTTATTGCACTTGATGCAGCGCGTGGCGAACTTCTCCTCGTAGCAGCCGGCGCAGTAGATCTCCTGCTCCCGCGGGATGAAGGACTTGGTCCCGATGGCCGTCTTGCAGACGCAGCAGCAGAAGCAGTTCTCGTGCCACTGCCTGGTTTTATACTCCATCTTCTTGGTGCCTAAGGCAGGGAAACAGGAAAAGAGCGGGAGTTAAAATCAATCCAAGTCGAAATCAATTTCCGCCTTATGGAGGCCTTGAACCTTGAACTTTGGCAACCCACTAACCCAGCAAACCCGAATCCTATCAATTCAATCTGGGGAGAACTCAATTTTAAGGCAGCGACAGATTGAGGGCAGAGTCAATCAGTGGAAGGAAGACAATCCGTTTCCAATATGGAAACAAAAGCTTCCCTTCGTTATGTCAGCCAGACATGCAACTTCTTTTCCAAAGCGAGGGGTGCCAGTCACGCCTTACCCGATTCCTCCTTTTGGGCTTTAACATTTTCACAATTAATGCAGAAATTACGCAAATTTCGGCTAGCTTCGAGACGAAAGCCATTCTCTGCTGGATTTAGGGCTATTGCAGTATTAGTAGTCCATATAAGCGCTTGAGCACTTCGCTATCTTCTGGCTTTATTTATTGCGTGCTCGTAATGTTTCTGGCCAAAAATAATCAGACGAAAAGAGTTGAGGCAAATTTTCCCCGCCACGAGAAAAAAGGTTTGCTAGTGCGGGTAATTGAGTGGAAATGTTGACTATGTCGTCGGCAAATTATTCTTTAATTCGCGGTTGCCAAGCAAGACGGTTGTGGAAAATAAGGGCAGTCTCGGGAAAATTCGTTCTGGGAGCTAAATTGTGTTGCGAAAATTCCAGTAAAATATGTCATTAAATTTCACCCGACTTTAATTTTATTCATCTACGCTAATTTATTAAATAAAACAAAGTACAAAAAATAATTCCTCACAACAGACCTAGTATTCATGATTTTAAAATGTACCGCGTTCTTACTTAAGCATTTTTGTTTTATAAATTAAATTTAATAGGTTGTCTAGCTTTATTAAAAATCCAAGTCAATAGAACCTAGATGCATAACGGAATAGATTAGTTGTCTGGCTTGTTTGAGAGACCCCTTAAATGGATTCGTTACTCATCATCATCCATCGCTGGCGATGACGCGATGGATCTCGCCAGCAGCCAGTGGGCGGCTCCTTTCTTCTGGCCAATTTGAATAGTTTTCGGACAATAATACTGATAAATTATGATGTCTCATCCGTCGTTAATTAACATAAGATCGATTTATGAGTGTGTGGACCACGGGAATATTACCGCTGGCCACTTTACCTGCTTTGCTGGCACGCGGATCGCCGAGGCGACAATAATCGCCCAGCTGGCAATAAAAGTTGCGGTTCTCCTCCACGGCGGAGGCGTTGGGCAGGAACATGCTCAGCACGGCAATGTCCTCGTTGTTATCCTTGGCCTTCTTGATCCGCTCGGCACCAATGGTCTTGGTTTGCAGGTGGAGCCGAGACTTCATTCTCGAACTAAGTACATCCACGTCGGTCATGATCGAGTGCTACCTTTGTATTTCTGGTTCGGATTAGTTCACGAATGGAAAGTGTACCCAGCCAAATGACTTCAGTTCCGACCTGCCCCTTTCTTCTAATCGCGAACACCTCGGCAAGTCACGAAATATGCAGTTTTGTTGATGCCATCTATGCTAAAGTGGGTCAGTTCGAGATCGAAGACCGGCTATAAGACTCATTTAAGATATTCCACACCAACCGGCGAACACTGCTATCTTGAATCTTGAATCGATCTCTGGACTTGGGCAGAAAACCAATTTGGCGACGCCTAGTCTCTCTCTTGTTCACCCAAAGATCTGGTGTGATCTGAAGGCGTTGCCTCTATGACATCATTGCCAAATAACAAGTTTCATTTAACTTGGCGAATGCTTATAAATAAAATCCCAGGCCGAATTGGTTATAATGGAAATGAAACAGCAACGGGCCATCATAAATCATTAAATAATTAACTTTTTGTAAATACAACAAAGCCAAAATTTGTTAAGTTTCGTGAACAATTTTTTCCGATTTGGCCGAAGCGTGTGCGCAAATTGAAGCAGGAAATTGTCCAAGCCAGCAGCGCACAGGAAGCTCAGATTGGAATAGAACAGATTAGAGCAGAATAATAACTATTGAAGCCCACACAATTGGAAAGGTGGAGATGGATGGCTAGGAATGTCGGGGAAATCACCATGGCTAGGAAATGGACTGATGATGTAAGAATATTGTCTGGAGTGCGAAATTATAAAGACAAGTACTGAATTTTAGAGAGAGTTAAGAACTAAGAGTTAGCTATGCATTATAATCCTACGACTTTTTAGTGACGAATTTACTGAAATAAAAATAAAATGAACATGTCACTAGAATGTCAGCATATTGACTTTGCCCAAAACTATATTTAGCTAAAAAGTTATTGGCTTCTAAATGTTTAAAAACGCAAGCAAATATTTAAGCTTCCATTAACATGCATTCAAGCAACCAGAAACCCAGCAAAGCTGCTCTTCACTGTAGAATTTATTTATTTATTTAGCTTAGGGATGCGAAACTGCCATTTGAGATGTACAAATTAAGCAGAGCTGCAAGCTGGATTACGTGTGTACTTCTGTAGAAAAATAGCAAATGGCTTCCCATACCAACTGCTGATCTCCAATTAGTTCAAACTCAATTGACCCCACAGCTAGTCCCATCAATATTGGGTTACCAGCCCAAAACCGCAGCATTCGTATGGGTTTCCTACGCTCTTTGCGGCCAAACGGTGGGGCATAAACAACGTTTATTTATAGCGACCAGCGTCTAACACAATTATAACTAATTGTGATGGGCTGTCAGCTCCGCAGAGTCCAAAGGCGTCGCCCACTGAAAGATGGGAGTCTCAGCGGACGCCTACAACAAACGTGGCC